ACCTAGCCCTGATCCAACCCAGCCCCAGCCCAGCCCCAGCCCCAGCCCAGAGCCAGCCCCAGCCCTGACCCAACCCAGACCCAGACCCAGCCCAGACCCAGCCCTGACCCAGCCCAGCCCCACAGCCCCAGGACACACCGGCCCCTTCCCCTGCATCTCCCATGGCAGCGAGTGTGGGTCAGCACTGACATGTGACACAGCCCCAAGCTCAGAGGAGGGAAGATCAAATCCCCGTGGAAGCAAAACCTTGAAAGTAGAAGCAGAGGCCAAGTGGATGTTCGTGACACCAGCTGCTCTCTGGGGCTGAAGGACACGGAGCTCAGCCCAGCCACAACCAGAACCTCTGAAGCAGAGATGAAGTGAGAGCAGACAGAGAAACAACAGTTTGCTTGGTGGGAACGGGGGCCTTCATGGTTTTTTCTCCTGTTTTCCTTTGGTTCTCCAACGGGAGATGCTGGAGGTCTGGCTCATGGCTCAATGGCAGCAGCCAATCCACTGCATCCTGTCAAAGCCTGGTCCCAAGAACAGGCACAGCCATGGGGCCAGGAGGAGCACGAGGTCACAGACCAGGTTGGGGACCTGGCGTGAGCTCCCACGGAAGAGGGGGGCACAGAAAGGGCCTTTGTCCTTCCTCCTCACCCCGGGGTCCAGCCAGGCTGAACAGGACCAAGGGAGGGTTTTCCATGGGCACACCTGGTACTGGGTCCTGGAGTGGCCTTCCTGCCAAAAAGCACCCAGGGAGGAAGCTGAGGAGAAGGAGGGGGAGCAGCAAGGCTGGCTGGGTTAAAAAGCAGCTGCCAAACACCTTCCTCACCAAACCAGAGCTCTCCTGTGTCAGCTGCTCCTGGTCTGCTCCTCCAAGAATATCAAGGGAAATCCATTCATCACATCCATCCTTTACCACCAGCTGATTCCCCAGCTTCTCAAGGATTCCTTTTGGTCCTTTTCTTTAGCTCCTGTCCAAAACAAAATCTGCAAGGCTTTACTCCTCAGGGAGATTATCCTCCCAATGCTCACAGAACTTGCCCAGCTGCCTGGATCACAGGGGCCACTCTTGCTGCCACTCCAGTTAAACCCAGCAACATTCCCCAGCATGAGCTTTGACCACGGACAAGACACTTCATCTCCAGCAGCAACAGAGGTTTCTAGGTAGGTTTTCAGGACGGGACTGAGGCTCAGGAACATCCTTCACGCCCTCAACTGCTGAACACTGCTGGTGGCAGGAGGGCACCTGAGATGCCAGCTTTGGTTTTGATCTAGAAAATCAACTGTTGGCTCTGGGGGAAGCAGGTTAATGTGAAATGCCATCCAGGGGGGGGTTTGCTGGAGTCACTTACTCCTGTCCCTTGTCTTACTGAGGCAGATGTGAAACTGCTGGAAAGAAAAGCCCTCACTGGGGGAGGCTGCACCACCCCCAGCTTTGGGTCTGCTGCAGAGGTCTCTGCCTGCCAGGGGGCTGGAGAAGGGCTCTGACAAGCAGGGAACCCAAGGGAAATCCTTGGGAAAGGCAGCTGCAAACAGCAGGTACAAGGTAAGAGGATTCTGCTACTGCTTTTGAATTCCAGCACTCAGCTTTTGTCAACAAACGTGTGTTTGAGCAGTCATGGTCTGTACAGCCCTTCCTGCCATTTTTACAGCAAAAACATTGTGGTTTGGGTGTTGAACAGGCACAGCCATGGGGCCAGGAGGAGCACGAGGTCACAGACCAGGTTGGGGACCTGGCGTGAGCTCCCACGGAAGAGGGGGGCACAGAAAGGGCCTTTGTCCTTCCTCCTCACCCCGGGGTCCAGCCAGGCTGAACAGGACCAAGGGAGGGTTTTCCATGGGCACACCTGGTACTGGGTCCTGGAGTGGCCTTCCTGCCAAAAAGCACCCAGGGAGGAAGCTGAGGAGAAGGAGGGGGAGCAGCAAGGCTGGCTGGGTTAAAAAGCAGCTGCCAAACACCTTCCTCACCAAACCAGAGCTCTCCTGTGTCAGCTGCTCCTGGTCTGCTCCTCCAAGAATATCAAGGGAAATCCATTCATCACATCCATCCTTTACCACCAGCTGATTCCCCAGCTTCTCAAGGATTCCTTTTGGTCCTT